TGTAGGCTGGTTTGTCTTGGGTTGAATTCTTCTGAGCCTTTGCTTATCTGAGATGCTCTTTATTTCTCCTTCATATTACGAAGCTTAGTTTGCAGGAATTAGATTCTAGCTTGCGTCATGTCGTTTTGCTTTCAAAGAGCCGTGAGAATCCCGGGCCCCAGTCTCTCCTTGCCTACTACAATCTCATTACAGACAGGTCTGCGTTTATTCGAATGGTTTTGCCGTATGATGTTACTGCTTCTTTTCGTGCTAACAGTCTTCAAGGGCCTCTTTAGTTGATAATTAGTTGGTCAGTCTGATGACTGCGATGTTGTGACTCTTCTCTTTGCATGTCTGCCAGGGGCTCCTCTGATCTCTTTGACTTGTATATCGAATTTTGAGCAAGAACCTGAAATTTTCCTCTCATTATATCTTCAAATAGCTTTGTCCCGTTGAGCTGTTGTTCTTTGCTTGCCCTTCTGGTACCCTATGACCCTTCCAAATAGGTCTTCTTCACATAATCCCACATCTCTTGTAGGCTTTGCTATTTTCCTTGTTTCTCTGTCTATTTCTGCTGACTGATTTATTTTAATTGGGAGGGTGTTATCTTCAAGGCTCTGAAGATTCCTTTTCTTCTGTTCCATCTTACCCTATGTGCTCTGAGACTTTCACTGTATTTCTGCTAGTTCCGCTGAATTGATTCTTCATTTCCAGGAGTTCGGTTAAACTTTCTTCATTGTGTCTATTTCTTTAGTGAACCTTTGTTCTCGGTCCTGGAGGCTTTTTGTGGTTTCTTTGTGTTGGTTATTGAGTTGTTCTTGCAGTTTAGTGATTGTCCTTATGATCCACATATGAAATTCCTCTTCTGTCATTTTGGTTGCCTGATTTTGGTTGGTGCCCATTTCTAGGGGGCTGGGGCTCCTCTTTGGGGCTGTGTTTTCCGTTTGGTTCTTCATATTTCCTGAGTTCCTTCGCTGATTTCTTCCCATGTCAATCAGTTGTTGTTTCTTTTCTGTAGGTTATTGTTTGGGTATTCACTCACCTTGTTTAGTTTCTGAGCCGTTAGGTGGTGTCTGTGGGTGAGATTTGACCACTCCCTGTATGAGTCATTAGGCGTCCTGAAAAGGGTGTGCAGGATGCTCTCCTTGTCAGTAGGTGGCACTTGCTTGGAGGAACAGGCTATGCTGTTGTTTTTATGTCCTGTTATCAGCTCTTGTTCCTGTAGAGAGAACTCTAATGCCTCAGGTGGTGGGTGGGGCCCTGGGACTTCCAGGTGTGTCCTTTTCTCCCCTTCAGTGAGGACTGGTTTGGGAGAGAGTCTGGGCGGAGCTGGGTTGGGTAAGCCTGCCCTCAGGCACCACCAATGTCGTTAGCAGGGGTCAAAGTTCTCTTCTCTGCTTCTAGGCAAAGCTGCCAGGGAGGGGCTGGAATGGCCCCGCTCAGTCAGAGAGTCTGCATGTGTGGGTGGGGCTGTCTGAGACCCGCAGTCTGGAGGGAGCCTGGCTTCGTTCCACCATCCCCAACTCCACGGCTACTCCCGGGCCTCTGCCCGCAGGCCAGACCACAGGCCACCAGGCCTCCCTTGCTGTGCTGCCGGCAGGGAGGTTCCCTGCGCAGGAACGCCACCTGGGCTGGACACATGGACTCCCTTTGGGGGGTGGGTTGCCCTCTAGGCTGCTGATCTGCACCTGAAGGCACACACACCTCCGTAGGCTGTTCACAAATATCCTTTCTGTGCCCCAGTCAATGCGAGGCCTCGGTGCATGGGATGTGGTCTGCAGGTCTGACCTCTGGGTCCCAGAGTTCAAACTATATCCCCGCCAGGGAGAGCAGTGCCAGTCCCAATTCACCCACAAGGAGCCCACACTGGGTCTATGTCTCTCAACCTCAGGGTCTGCCCCATTCTCCTGGGATCACCATGCCAGCAGCACCTGGGAGGGCTGGCGGGTAGGGAGCTCACAGTCTGAGTTCCCCTGAGTCAGCTGTAGGGCCCCAAAAGGGAAGGTCTCGTTCGCTGTAGGTGCCTCCGGCTGGTGGCTATATTGTCTCTCTGTCTCTCTGGGCAGCAGCGGGTAGGGTCGGGGGAGGGGGTCAGGAGGCAATATGGCGTCTGCCGCTTGGGGCTCAGGTCTGTGCACACAGAGGTGCCCCGAGGGAGTTGGGAGCCTGGTGAGCTACTGGCTTATCGCTCACTGGTAGCAGCCGTCGCTGGGCTGGTGTCCGCAGATCTTTCCACTCGCTGGGGAGCCCACCAGCAGTCCGGGATGCAGGGGAGGGGAAATGACCAATTCACCTACACTTCCTGCTGGTCTCCGGGCTGCTCCGGGGGTCCCAGCTTCCAGTTCTCCTCCGTGACCTCCTCCTGTGGAGTCTCCTGTGGTCTCAGGTACTCCTCCTTCTGACCCTCATCCAATGTAGGCTCGTCTTCTTGCTTCTTGCTTCTAATTTCTGCTAGAATCTGTCTTTTCTGCAGAGACACTCTGTCTGGCAGTGTTTCTCATCTGCCATCTTCTATTTTTTTCTCTGCCCCTGTATTGTTATGTTGTCATTCTGCTTGCACTCTGACACCCTGTGCCAGCAATGCATGGACATCCTCCTTAATCAACTCAGATGCACACAGGGTCATATCCCTGTGTATATGTCCTCACCTTTCTTAGGCTCTGGTACCCTGTGCCAGGCTACTCCTCTGCAGGAATTCCTCCCACAATGCTTGGACTCTAACTCCCAAACCAACCCCCTCCACTCCCACAGACAGCCTGTTAATGCCCTATTCATCCTCTTTGGGCTCTGTCTGAATCTCATATTACTTCGCTGCCACCACCCACAAACTATCCTCACTCTACTTGACTTCTAATACCATGTGCCCAGATGCCCCTATATATGGAAATTTTCCTAACTCTGCTTGGATTTCAAGTCTCCATCTAGTGCTGTATTTTCCAGGTTAATGTCCATTTCCACTGCTCAGGCTTAGGACTAAATTTTCAGAAAAGAAAGAAAAGGGAAATAAAGAGAGGAGCACATTGATAGATTTCAAAATATTAAACCCACCTTGCATTCCTGTAATAAACATCATTTATTCATGCATATTATTCATTTTTATATAGTTGGATTCAATTTACTATTAATAATATTTTGTTAAGGATTTTTGCATTGATGTCCAGAAATTTTTTATGGTCTGTAATTTTCTTGTAATATCTTTGTCAGGCTTTGGTATTACAGTTATGATGGTTACATAAAATATGTTCAGAAGTGCTGTCTATTTTCTAAAGGATTTGTGTAGGATTCATATTATTTCTTTGCTAGTGCTTGATGGAATTCACCAGTAAAGCCATCTATGCCTGGAGTTTTATTTAAATAAAAACATTTTAAATTATATATTTAACAAATTTGCTATTTTTTTCTTGAGTCAATTTTGCTAAGTTGTGTCTTTCAAGGAATTTTTCCATTTCATCTAAGTTGTTGCATTTGTTAGCAAAATGTTTTTGTCCATAATATTCCTCTATTATCCTTCTAATATCTGTAAAGTTTGTAGTGTTAGCCTCATTATTATTCCAGATACTGGTCATTTGTGTTTTTTCTTTTTCTTTATTAGTCTTGCTAGCAATTGTGTTAATCCTTTTTTTAAAATTTTGATGCTGTTAAATTATTCTATTTTGTCTTTTATCCATTTCATTGATTTAATCCCTGATCTTTATTTTTGTTTACTTCTGCTGACTTTGAATTTAACTTGCTCTATTTTCCTAGCTGCTTAAGGTAAGAGGTTTAAACCAGTGATTTCAACCTTTTCTTCTTTTCTCATATGAACATTCAAAACTATACACTTCCTTCTCTCTTTAAGCACTCCTTTAGCTACACCCCAAAATTTTGATGGGTTGTGTTTTCGTTATCATTTAGTTCAAAATATTTTCCATTATATCTTGAGATTTCTTTTTTGACCTATAGAATATTAAGAAGTATAATAATAATTTAGCAGGGCATGGTGGTGTGTGCCTATAGTCTATCAGTTACTTGGGAAGCTGAGGCAGGAGGAACTCTTGAAGCCAGGAGTTCGAGGCTGCAGTGTGCAATGATCACACCTGTTAATAGCCACTACACTCAAACTGGGCAACATAGCAAGACCCTGTAGAGAAGAAGGGTAGGAGGAGGAAGGGGAGAGGGAGGGGAAGGAGGAGGAGGAAGAGGAGGAGGAGGAGGAGAGTAGCAGTATTGTTTATAGTCTACATTCTTGGAACTATTCTAGATATTTTTTGTTATTCATTTCTAATTTCCATTGTAATCAGGGAATATAATCTATATGATTTCAAGCCTTTTAAATTGAGACTTGTTTTATGGCCAAGTATATGGGTCAATCTGGGTGATTGTTTCAATGCACTTGAAAATAATGTGTATTCTGCTATTGTTGGGTAGAGTGTTTTATAAGTGTCAAGTTAGTCAATGTAGTTGATAGTATTGTACAAGCCTTCTTTATTATTTATTTTCTGCCTACTTCCTATCAATTATTAAAAATTATTGAAATATCCTATTATAATTATGAATTTATTAATTTTACCATTTCTCCTTTTAGTGCTCTCAGTTTTTGCTTCATCTCTCTTGTTAATGTGTTTATAGTTGTTATGTATTCCTGATGGGATTGACCCTTGTATCATTATAAAATGTTCTTCTTTGCTTTTAATCATCATTTTTTTTTCTTGAATCTATTTTATGTAAGATTAGTATTGGCACTCTAGCTCTCTTCAGGTTCCTCTTTACATGCACTATCTTTTTCATTCTTTTATTTTCAACCTCTTTGTGTCTTTGAATCTACAGTGGGTCTCTTGTAGACAGCATATAGTTGTATCTTTTAAAAATCCATGTTGTCAATCTCTGTCTTTTAATTGGAGTATTTAGTAAATTTTTATTTAATATTATTCTGTGGACACCCTGCAGAAGCAAGATGGACCCTTATCCAAAATTTGGTTCAGATGTCAAAATTAGTGACAACACATCCACACACCAAAAGCATGAAAAAGTTTATTACTCACATAATTAGGATTTCCAGGAAGATCAGGGTAACTTCCAAGCAGATCCAAAAATAGCTTGAGGGAGCAGGGAAAGGAGTCTTTATGGTGTCTGGTATGAGGATTCCATGAGTGGCTTCAACTCCTCACCACCATCAAAGTAGGGCACCCAGGCTTAGCTCTCAACTTGACTAAGGAGAAAGGAGAAGAGGGAGTGAGGAAGGAGAAGAGGGAGTGATGAAGTTTAAAATCTGTCATCAAATGTTATAAAGTAGAACTAGACTCGTTATTATAAATGTAATTGCTAATAAGATAGGATTTACATTTGCAATTTTGCTATTTGCTATGCTTCATTTATTTTCACATTGTTAGGTACTTACATGTTTAAAATTGTCTTCTTGATGAGTTGAACCTTTTTTTACTATGAAATATTATTTAGCCCTAGTATAATTCATGTACTGAAGTCTACCATGTCTAGTATTAATACAGCCACTTCAACTTTTTCATGCCTAGTGTTTGCGTAGCATACCTTTTTCCATCCTTTTACTTCTAAACTATAGGTATCTTTATATTTAAAGGAGGGTTCTTAAAGATAGTTTATATTTAGATCTTACCTTTTTATTCAGTCTGACAATTTCTGCTCTTTAATTTTTCTATTTATCCATCATTTACATTTAAAATAATTACTCATGTACCTGAGTATAGATATACCTTCTACTTCTTTCTTCTTCTTTCTTCTTCTTTCATCCTCCTCCTCCTCCTCCTCTTCCTCCTCCTCTTCCTTCTCTTCCTCTTCCTCCTCTTCCTCTTCTTCCTCTTCCTCCTCCTCTTCCTCTTCCTCTTCTTCCTCTTCCTCTTCTTCCTCCTCCTCCTCTTCCTCTTCTTCTTCGCAAGGTCTCATTCTATTGCCCAGGCTGAAGTGCAGTGATCAAAGATCACTGCAACCTGGAACTCCGGGGCTCAAGTAATCCTCCCATTTCAGCCTCCTGAGTAGCTGGGACTACAGGCACACGCTACTATGCCTGGCTAATTTTTAAATTTTTGGTAGAGATGGGGTCTCACTATGTTGCCCAGACTGTTGTCAAACTCCTGGCCTCAAGCAATCCTTTCAGCTCAGTCTCCCAAAGTGCTTGGATTACAGGCATAAGCTACTGTGCTTGGCTACAATCTTTTATTTGTAGTCTATTCTGGCCTTCTGTTTTTATTCCATTCCTCATATTTTCCTTTTAAGTACTTTTTATCCCATTTTATCTTTTCTATTGTCTCGCTATCTAATTCTTATTGTTTTATTTTTATGGATGCTCTAAGGATTACAGTATTCATTTTAAAACATATTATGATCCATCTTTACATAATCTTATATTGCTTTACAATAATATATTTCTCTTTTATTACTCAAACATTTCTATGATGTCATCAAGAATTTTTCTTCTATCTATATCTGCTGTCCCCAACCCCTGGGCCACAGACCAGTACTAGTTCACAGCTAATAAGGGACCAGGCCATAGAGCTCTGCTGCCAGCCCCCCTCAGTCCCCCAATCCCCATCTGTGGAAAAATTGTCTTCCATGAAATTTAGGAAGGAGGGAGCACACAGCAGGACGTTAGTAGTTGATGAGCAGTGAAGCTTCATCTGTATTTATAGCCACTTCCCATCACTGGCATCACCACCTGAGCTTCCCCCACCCACCCCCCATTCATGGAAAAATTGTCTTCCATGAAACTGGTCCCTGGGGTCAAAAAGGTTGGGGACTGCTGATATATATCAAAAACTCTATATATAATACAATGTATTTTAAAGACACTTTCCTGGAAGTGATTGTATAAAATTGGTGTTAATTCTTCTTTAAATATGTGATGGACTTTTCCATTCTTTTTGGGGCAGGGGAGGTTTTTAATTACAAATTCAATTTCCTTGATGGCTATAGGGCTTTTCAAATGATCTATTTCATATTGATTGAGTTGTAGTATTTCATGCATTCAGAAGAATCTGTCCATTTCATCTAAGTTCTCAAATTTTTATTTGTAGGGTTTTCATAGTAACCTTTTATTATCCTTTGGGTGTCTGCAGGATCTGTGGTGATATTCTCTGTTTCATTCCTGGTATTTGTGATTTTTGTCTTCTCACTTTTTCTCTTTCTAATTCTCACCAGAAGTATGCAAATTTCATTGATATTTTCAAAGAACCAGCTTTTGTTTCATTGACTTTTCTCTAATGTTTTTAGGTTTATATTAATCATCTTGAGCTTCCATGACAAAATACCACAGATTGGGTGCTTTAAACAAAAGAAATGTATTTCCCTCACAGTTCTGGAGGCTGGAAGTCCAAGATCAAGGTGCCAGCGTGGCCAGGTGTTAGTGAGGGCTCTTTAGGTTGCAGATGGCCTTCTCACTGTATCCTCACATGGTGGAAAGAGAGTGCAAACTCTCTGGTATTTCTTTGTATGAAATAACTAATCCCATCATGCGGGTCCCATACTCATGACCTCATCTAAACCTGATCATCTCCCAAATGCTCCATCTCCAAATATCATCACATTGAGGGTTAGGGCTTCAATAGATGAGACTGGAGGGGACACAATTCAGTCAATAGGGCTGTTTTTATTTCACTGATTACTGCTCTTATCTCCCTAAGCTCACTCTGTCAGGCTGTTTTGAGTTTATTTTACACTTTTCTAGTTTCTTCAAGTGGGAGATTGGATTTTGATTTAAGACTTTCCTCCTCATCTAATGTGAGCATTTGGGACTATAAATTCCCTCTCAGTACTGCTTAGCTATCCCTCATGAATTTTGATGTATTGCATTTTCATTTTAATTCAGTTCAATGCATGTTTTATTTCACTTGAGACTTCCTCTTTCACATGTGGTTATATAGAAATTTGATTTTTAGTTTCCAAGGATTTTAATATGTTTGTGTTATCTTTTTATACTATTGATTTTGAGTTTGATTGTATCGTGTTCAGAGAACATAGTCTATATTTCAATTATTTTGAATTTGCCAAGGTTTGTTTTATGGGATAGGATATGATATATCTTGGTGTGTATTCTGTTAGTACTTAAAAAGAGTAAATATTCTACTGTTGTTGGGTAGAGTGCTCTATAAGTGATGACTTGACCTTGTTGGTTGATGGTGTTGTTCAGTTCTATGTCTCTGCTAATTTTCTATAAATCATCAAGAGATGGATGTTGAAACATCCAACTATAATGTGGATTAGTCTATTTCTCCTTTTAGTTCTATCAGTTATTAGATAATACCTTTATTGGGATATAATTCATATACCATATCATATCAGTCAGGGTTATTCAGAGAAACAGAGCAAAAATAACAGGATGTTATTTGAAAAACTGGCTCTCATGATATGGAGGCTGGGAAGTCTGAATCTGCAATTGGTACTGGCAGGCTCAAGACCAAAGAGAGCTGAGAGTGCAGTTCCAGTCTGCAGGCTGACAGGCAGAGAGATCCGGGAGAGCTGATGGTGCCAATGAAGTCCTAAGGTAATCTGCTGGAGATTCCCTTTTATTCAGGGGACAGTCTTTTTGTTCTACTTGGGACTTTAACTGATTAGATGAGGGCCACCCACATTATAAAGAGGAAACTAGTTTAACTTACCAATTAAAATGTTAGTTTTGTCCACAGTCACCCTCACAGAAACACCCAGAATAATGTTTTAAGAAATATTCTGGCACCCCATGGCCTAGTCAAGTTGAAACATAAAATTAACCATCACACATATAATTCACCCACTGAAAGTGTACAGTTCAATGCTTTTTAGTATATTCACAGGGTTGTATAAACATCACCATAATCAATTTGAAAACACTTTCATCATCCCAGAAAGAAACCACATACCCACTACTAGTCAACCACATTTTCTCCCATCACCCCCAGTACTGTGCAACCACTAGCCTACTTTCTGTCTCTATCAATTTGCCTACTCTGGACATTTCATATAAAATAAATCATTTTAAAATAAATGTGGTCATTTGTGACTGGCTTATTTTACTTAGCATGTTTTCATGGTTCATTCATATTATAGCATGTATCAGTACTTTATTCCTTTTAATTGCAGAATAATATTGCATTGTAGGAATTTACTACATTTTAATAACTCATTAGTTGATGGATATTTGTATTAAAACCACTGTGGAGTTATTGTGAATAATAAAACTGCTATAAGCATTCATGGACAAGTGTTGGACATATATTTTCATTTCTATTGAATATATACCTAGGTGCAAAATTGCTAGGTGATTAATCATTTGAGGAACTGCCAGACCATTTCCAAAGTGGCTGTACCATTTTATTTTCCCACCTTCAGTTTATGTGGGTTCCAGTTTCTCCACATCATTGCCAATACATGTTATTAACTGTCTTTTTTATTAGAACCATCCTGTAACACCTAGTGGGTGTGAAATGGTATCTCATTGTGTGTTTTTTTTTCCGAGTCTCACTCTGTTGCCCTGGCTAGAGTGCTGTGGAGTCAGCCTAGCTCACAGCAACCTCAAAGTCCTGGGCTCAAGCTATCCTCCTGCCTCAGCCTCCCAAGTAGCTGGGACTACAGGCATGCATCACCATGTCCGGCTAATTTTTTCTATATATTTTTAGTTGTCCAACTAATTTCTTTCTATTTTTAGTAGAGAAGGGGTCTTGCTCTTGTTCAGGCTGGTCTCAAACTCCTGGGCTCAAACGATCCACCCGCCTCGGCCTCCCAGAGTGCTAGGATTACAGGCATGAGACACCGTGCCCGGCCTCATTGTGGTTTTGATTTGCAATTCCCTACTGGCTGATGATGTTGAGCATCTGTTCATGTGCTTATTGGACATTTGTATATCTTCCTTAGAAGAATATCTATTCAAATCCTTTCTCCATTTTTTAATTGGGTTGTCTTTTTATTATTGAATTTTAAGAGTTCTTTTCACATTCTAGCTATAAGGCTTTTACCAGATATATGATTTACAAAAATTTTCTCCTAGTCTGTATGCTGCCTTCACTTTTTTGTTGATGTACTTTGAAGTTCAAAAATGTTTAATTTTTATGAAGTTCAATTTATTTATTTTATTGTTGATTGTTTATGCTTTTTGGTGCCTATGTAAGAAACTATTGCCTAATCCAAGGTCACAAAGGTTTATGCCTATGTTTCAAGAGGTGTATAGATTTAGCACTTATATTCAGAGCTTTAATCCATTTTGAG